ACTTTGAAGATTTATACATCCGTGAAAACTCGGAATTATATCTGGGTTAATCGTTCTTCTGGGTCCCTAAAGTTGTTCTTCCAGACCCCTACAGAGTAAACGCTAGTCACCAATTGCAGCTCTGTGCTTCACCTCTCAGCACATGCCGACACGCTTGTATGCAATTGAAGAGTCGTGTTCTACAATTTTAACTAACTTACTGTGACTTGTGAAATTAGGAGAAAGAAATGCTGCTACTGCGGATGTATTGATGTTAAAAAAATAATTCTGGAGTACGTTTTGTACCCTTCGTACTACTTAGGTTTACAGTTCTAAAAATAACAGATGACGTTGTTCGTATTGAATATTACAGCGAAAACCGGTTTGGCAGTCTCTCTTCCTTAACCGCTTTCGAAGTATCTGGTAAAATACCGGGAAGTCATGTTGTAATGAACGTTTGATACTTCGCCGATTTTTCTGCGTGCAGGCGCGTATTTTTCCACTGCATTCTTACAGAAATCTTTTTCATAAGGAGAGCAGACATCGCGACGAGGCCGGCTGAATTATAATCGGCCCGGGCGCACAGCGATCGATTCCCTGCTCCGCAGCGCCACCTGCCCCCGTCCCCGCCCCCCTCCCCGTCCGTGCGTGCCGCGCCGCGCCGCGCCGGCGGCGCCTCGCCTCGGGAGCCCGCGTCCTCAAGGCGCCCCGCCCCGCCGACCGCGCGCGTCCGCCACGCGCTCCTCGCCTCGCCGTGCCCCGCGCCTCCCGAGGCACGCGGCGGCGCCCCCGTGCGCGCGCGAGCGAGCGCCGCCCGTGCCTTTCCCGCCAGACTGCGCGGCCGCCCCCACTCACCGCCGCCGGCGAACACTCCAGCAGCAGCAGCAACAGCCCGGCTATCCGCCACGCCCTCCATGGCCGGTCCGCGGGCGCGTGAAGCAACGGCGGCGGTGGCTGTAGTAGCAGCGGCGGCGGAGTAGCCGGGGCCCGCTCGCAGGTCACTGCCGCAGAGAGGCCGCCGCACTGCCGCCTCCTCGCCCTCTTCCCCCGGCCGCGCCGTCGCCGTCCCCGCTCCTGCTGCCCCCACATCGACCGCGCCGGCGTGGTCGCGCCGCCGCCCGCCGCCCTCCCCGCGCTTCCCTGCAGGCCAACGCCGCGCTCCGTCCCGCTCCGCTCCGGTCACCTAAATTTTTGCAATTACCCCAAAATGATAATCGAAAACTGACATAACGGTCGCACATTTGTCCGCTCCACTGATTTCGACCGACAACAAATTATCTATGCAAATTCAGAGACCAAGTTTGTTCACTTCTTTAGACACGCTAGATGTTGACTTTGTGATATAATTATTTTTTTATTAAAAACTGAATAACAAATAAATATCATATATGTTATTTAATAAGGCAATATTATTCTAAATAGAAATATTACTTGTCCTTGAAATGCAGGGGAAAAAAATTTAATGAATTATGACAAACACTATACTTGTATTAACATTGATTTTATGGGTAACGAATGTAAATAAATTTAAAGAACATAAAAATATGCACATGCACAAATGCATACAACTTGTCCGTCAAACATCCTTTTACCTAGCACAAGTTCCAACATTGTAAAACAAATTTTTTTTGTGGAAAATTCTTTGATTTGTTCTCAGGAATAATCAATATCATAATATCTCTTAGTTGGGACTTTGTGCACCCTCGAACATTAAAGCACTAACAATCTTCTGCGCATGCACAGTTCACGTTTCGCATTACTCAACTGCATCTGTGCATGCGCAGAAGATCGATAGTGCTGTACGCTGTGCATGCACAAACAGCCTAGCAATGATTCCATTAATTAGTGTGATTAAGCAATGCAAAAACAATCTCACTGGGAATTTATTAACTTAAAACTGTTTGAATATTATTCTTTACAATTATAACATCTTAAAATAATTATTTGAAGACAAATGTGTGTATCAACCAACAGACTGTTAAATAATGTCACGACCATTTAATTACATTACGTGGAACATCATTAAGATTCAGGGAACTCATGGTGTAATGGCCAGTGCACATGTCTTTCACTTTCCAATCCAGGTTCAATTCCTGACCAATTTATGTGGGATTTGTGATGGACTCAGAGAGTTCTTGGCAAGTTTTCTCAGGGTTCTCCCATTTCCCTTCCTCTCATTCCACATGTTGAACGTAATCATTATCACTATCATCAATTCATTAAGCCATCACTCATGGGCCTCAATGATCTCAGCAATTAAAGCACCCCTAAATCACAATAAAAAAGTTTAAATGAGTAAGATACAGCAACTTTGAAAATTCTTCAATTTACTGAGATAAAGACAATATTGTACTTCTTTCTTTACAAATCTAGATAACATTGTTGTAGGGGTGGATAGGTCTCCATAATAATTTTCTTTTATCAGATTTTATAAGTACCATCCATCTTTGATAAAAAATATTTGTCTAAACTTCAGTGCTATGGAAAGGTTAAATCTAAAACATACAGTCAAATTGTAACCACTCCCTGTTCATTAACTTTATGTATATCCAGTCTGTTCAGCTCAATCACACTTCTAATTTTTATATTATATTCAGACTGTAGTTTTTACTACCTGTATTTTCATATTTAAAAAAAAATCTTAAACGTAAACCACCACCATTGTACTGTTTTCAGTACATCACTCCAGGAGTTCTCTACTTTATATCCCACCTAAAAGAAAACTAACTCCTCTCTTCCTTGGAAGCAATTTAAGACATATAATTGCACATTTGTTTTGGTGAAATATTGTTTCCTCATTCTGACAGTTCATATTTATTACTGAAATGTCCTCAGAATTTTTACACCTTGAACATGCAGTAATTAAAAAGCTGCTAAATGTCACTTGAATATTTTCATAAACACAAATTACTTTGAACAAGCTAATTGTTCACAGACAATATTAATATTGTGATTCTACTGTATCTAATGAAAAAAAAAATGAAAGAAGTAAATGTAGTAGAAACAAATGACCTGATATTTCAATATGCAAATATAAAAGTGATTAACGAAATATTAACTAGATGTGCTCCAGAAAAACTCTTTTTCATTTTATCACTTCAAAGAATACCCTCAAATATAATTTTTGAAGATATACCAATGAATTGTTAGCTTCTGACTTAATTCGCTACCAATTTGTTGTTGTTGTTTTTTTTTTCGTTTATATTTTTTTATTCAAATACATTAAATCTGAAGTATCCATCATATTACAGGGATACCCACCCTTTTTTCAGGGTAAGCAAAACTTCCCCCAACAATCTACTTTACTTCCCTGTCAAACTGTCTTAATGCATTTCTGTTCTCAAGTTTTTCTTATTTAAAAAAATGTTTTGTGAAAGGGAAGCAAAATACATGATTGTTTATCTCTTGCTTCCATGAAAATTTGTTGGAACACTGTGCAAGACCACTTCTGGTTCAGTCTCCGAGCATTTAGTTGTCAAAGTGATTCACAGCTAACAACACAGTTACCCTTGAAGTGCTACTTAAAACAGCTGGTAAATGCTGTGGAAAATCTGATCTGAAAGCCCTCTATACATACAACAGCTTCACCTTGCATCTTTGCATATTATTAATTAACAGTGGTTTCCAGACCAGATCAAGACCTAGTGTGAAGTGAGATGAAAATAAATGAGCTTTTTGAAATAACTGAAAAAAATTGCATGAATACATTAGTTAAACATACAAGCTTTTAAACAATATGGTTTTCAATGACTATTTCATCCATGTGTGCCTGTGGTGTAAGTAACAAATGCTAAGCAAGAATACATTCAAATTAAACTAATCCCAGATGTCTATCGCCATATTATTATCAATATGCACTCCACTGATCAATTTATTTATCTTTGTGTTGTTATCGATAGCAATTGTTTAAGGTCCATGTTGTAAGCATCAATATATATTTGACAATGTTTAATATTGCAATATCATTTTCGCAATTTTCAAACACTGAAATTCAATCTATTTTTGACGACTCAGTGCTGAAAACAACAAAAGTAACAGAGAAAGTGTGTGGAAGCAATTTCAAGAATTTTGTGAAGAAAATACAAATTGACAGCACAAACTACTAAGAAATAACACAGATTTTGAAAAATAGGACAATTAATATGCGAAGATTAGATAGTGAAGAATACAAAGAATATGATACCAAAACTATGTGGAATGTCATGACCAAAATTAGACAGAAAAATACTTTAATGAGTGTAAGCGTATGTTCAATTCATTCGACAAAGACAAATCCCACTAATTCAGCTTCTACATCTTTAATTTCAAATATTTCCATGGAATCTCAAGCCATAGAAAACTCAACTTCCCACAACTTTAATAACTGTTCTTGTAAGAATTTTTGTAATAATTGTTTTTTGAGTTTTGTTACCATAAAATTGAAATGTAGTTGAAATCATTTTCTGCATTAAACTGTTATTCCTCCTTGGATATAAATGTTATTCCAAGAGGGATTGATCACTCCGAGCTGAATGAAAGTTTCATGTAATCCAGTATCAATTCCGAGTAATATTTCTCTTTTTTGTAATTCCTGTGTGCCCTTTTTAATTATCCATTCGATTCATGTAATGTGTTAATTTGTGAAATAGTTACACTAAATATCACTTGACGTGCTGTGATAATAAATATATTCACTCCTCAGTATGCAGGTTGTGAATTAACTGGTTACCACAGCACTTCGCATATTACTTATGATAATCATTAAACAAGTGGAAAAAATACTGGCTTAATTTCTAGTTTTCTGGAAGTTCCTTTTTAAGAAGTGATAGACCTAAAATTTTAAAATCTGCATGACTATTTGCAATGTCATCAAAAATTACTCTGCTTGCCTCCCTGGAATGTAAAGCCATAGCCACGTAAAGACGTAAGAATCCTACAGTCAAGTTCAAATGATCTCCCCCCCTTCCTCTGTATAATTAAAACATGCATGTGGCATGTGTCCATGAGAGCATACTCACAAACAACATACAAGATTATGAAGTGGGGCAATGGGTATGGAACAAACACAGATAAGGTTTTTTACTTAACTGCATTACATACATTCTGTAGAAAAATGTGAAGTTTAATGTCTACAGTTATTCTACAAACTGTATAACATATATATATATAAGAGCCAAATAAAATTTGCAAAGAAATTTTTGGCAACTGGGTTTTTGAAAGGAATATTTTTCTACATCCACATATTTATTAACGATGTGAATTCCATATAAATTTATTCAGTTGTTTGATAATTATAGCACCACCAGATTAATGACTTTCAAATGAGTGAGAGATTTAAACTCTAATTAAGTTTCAATACTTTTCTAAATCACTTACATCAAAATACATAATCACAATAAAAAATAATATATAAGTATTAGCTGCTCAACTACTTCAATAGTTGACTATATTCCACACAGCACCAGTGCAAGGCAGTAGAAAAATTGGTAACTGATCTTTCAACTTAAACATAAAGTACAGCATAAATTAATGTTGTAATTGTTTCGATGTAAGTCACTCACATTCCACCACAACTACAGTGGTAAATTTACTATTATCCATTTCATGAAATTTTATTAATGATATTTATGTTAATATGAGAACAAATTACTATTAATAGACTAAGTGATATGTTAAAAATGCATTATAAAAATGAACACAAAATATAAGTGGTACCATTCCAATATACTTGAAGTCAAAATGCAAAAAATGTATTAATGAAAAATATATTATGAAGCATGAGAACATTAATGCGACTTACAAATATAATACTCTAATATTATCACAAGTTTAAAAAATGATATGGAATAAGTATAGTAATCAAGAGTATTCTAAACACAAATTATGCAGAAAACTTTGATCACATTCATTCACTTTGTAGTGTGCTATTCTCACTGAACTAAACAGAAACTAAATTATATAAGTGTTTTTGTAGTATACACAACAATTTCAATGAAAAGAGAATGTTTAATTATTAATGAATGTTAATATCCATGCCAACATGATATTTTTTCAGTTTGCAAGTTGCATATTTCTTACGATTTTATGTGGGAACATATTTCTTCACTTTTAACATTACAATTCACAGTTTTGGACATGAATACAGTGCAATTTTAAATCTCAATAGAACAAACTTAGCATAATAACTTCATGTTGAAGAAAACAAATAGAGCCCTGACATCCTTTCTGTTTTATGATTAATTAACAATTATTTACCCTCACTCTTGAAATTGGCATGAGTTAATAAGCTTATTTCTCTTCATCTAAGCAATAAGAAACATAAATATATGCTAACATACATTTTACATATATATTGTACATTTATCTGTCCTAGTCTATTTTTTGGTCAACTGACATAGTAAAAAATTGGTTACTATTAAACTTTTATAGTAAAACATAAAATTAAAATTAAAATTTGAGAAAGTATTATAAAACTCAAAGTTTTTGATTAATAGCATAGAATATACAAAAATGTCAACAAACTCATACATATTATGTAGATGTTCAAGCATAGCCGCCCAAGCGTAAATACTCAAACCTCAAAATATTTTTTTTATTTTAGATTATGAACATAGCACACTTCACAATACATACAATATGACTATTTGTACTTGTCACAGGCATATATCTGAAAAAGTGTGCAATGATTTTTAGGCACTCTCTTGTGCACAAATATTTGCACAATTTCAATTGATGGAAGCATGTGGACATGGTGCTGGAGCATGTGGACATGGAGAGTCTTGTAATGATGCAATGGGGCACGTTGTCAATAAGTTCACAGACACCAAAATGGGAAATGTGAGTTCTGAGTCCAATACCAACAACACAACCTGTAAAAATTTGTTTTAAAAAGATATTTAACTAGACATTTTAAGATATCATAAATCAATAGTAATAATTATTTATTTTAATATCCAATTTAGTTTAAATTTATAATTTTATTTATTTAGTTTAAACTAAATTTATAATTTTGTATAAATATCTCATTTAGATGCATGTTTTTAACACATCCTTTATTATATATTGAAAGTGCAATTTATCATCTTGGTAGGGATTCTCCCCCTACTGACACCTCATTTGTTAAGACTGCTTAGTTGTGAGAGCCACAAAAGGCGTCAATGCTACAGAAAAAGTATATACTGTATTTGAAGACGATACAAAGCTTTCTCAGGTCTCCTTTTTGATGTAAATTTAATACTTTTTTTTTATAGAAACACACATTTATTCTATTATTATCTTATGAAAATAAATTTATCTTTAATTAATTTAAATGCCACTTTACACCTGATTTTTCAAATTAGACATCAAATCAGAATAAAGTATATTTTTAAAATTACTGAACACAATCTATCAAAACATCAAGGTGTTGATCTCTAGAGACAAACTTGGACAAAATGCCTATACTTTATTGCTAAAGACTTCTTAAAAGTGAATTAATATGAGTCCATTTCACAGTATTAGTGACATTTAGGGCAAATATGAATTTTAACTATTTTCTTGAGTAGTATTTAAAATGCTACTTTATCTGATCTGATTTATCAGATTTGCTATTTTAAGTTTTCAAAGAGTGTCCATTATTTTTTTAATGCAGTTGAAAGATAATGAAACATATTTTGAGACAATTAATGGAATTTAATTAGAATACAAGTAACTACTATTTTTATTTTATTCAAGATTATTGAGAAAATGTCACAGAATCATTGAAACTTGATGTGAAAACTTTAAACGAGATATAGTAATTATAAAATGACAAAAAAAGATATCTTGAGGTAACACCTAATTTGTTTCTTTTCATAGCACTCATTAGAATTTAATAGATGTCATGCTGGACTTTGTTAAAAAATTCACACTACCTTGTGCATTTCAGGCTGAGTGAAGGAATTGTAACCAGGTTACAGTAGATAATTAAAATTAGACTTCTAGCAGTTAAAAACCATTGAGATGATTCATAAGGATTAAAGCAATGTTGCAACTGATTTTGATCCACACATTTTAGCATTGTTTAAGTGAGTCCCAATGTCAGTCATGGTGAAGAGATCATTTTCAGTACTAAAAAATGTTAACTGATAGAAGTCAGAACTTAGAAGTAAAAAATGTAAAGTACCTGGGCTTAATTGGTAATCAATGCCTATTTTCTTAATAATTGCCAAGATCTATTGTGCATTGGCAGAGATGGCCCCAGTGGAATTTAATACATCAAGAATTATGTAGTATACATTGTTTTGTTTGAATTCAGTTGTTACATTAAGTATTCAAAAGCCATGTTGTCCACATGCATTTGGGGATATTATGTAATTCCAATTAAGTCTATTACAATTTAAAGAATTTGATCAATTTTGTACATCAGTGTAAAATATGAAAAACTTACATGTGAATTCTTGATAGGCTTGTGTTACCATATAATGTCAGCATTTATTTGAAAACATGAATATTTGGACCTAATGATACTTTGAAATTATACACTACAATTAGTTTTGGAAAGAGCATTTTTTATATTTTTTTAGTGCCTAATGTTTTTTTTGTTTTTATTATTATTATTTTTTTTTTGTGTTGTTTCTACTACACATTTTAAATAATTTACAAAAATCAATGTTGATAGGATTTCTTTCCTTTTTTCCCCTTCTCCTTCCAAATATTTAAATCAGTAAAATTTTAACCATAAAGACATTGCATTCAATGAAGGTCTATTAGTAAATAAAATTTAATTTACCTCTTCATTTTTAAAAAATGACATTGATTTTGTGCCAGTTGATTGAGTTTGCTTTATTTGTCGTTGTTCATCCAATGATGCTAAAGTGATCCTTAAAAACAAAAAAAGATGACACAATAAGAAATTATATTTAATAAGTGAGCATACATGAATCTTAACAAAAAAATCTCTGAAATTATCAAAAAATATACTCAAAGGTTTACCACTGCAAACTTTCAATGAGGGTGTTATCTACTTGAACTAAACTAAGAATCAGGGTCAACCTATGTAAAATAACTTGTCTCCAATTTGTATGAAACTTTTCCAGAAATTTTCTTTATATTTAAAAATGTTTGGAAATATTTATAATTGGTGCTGTGTAACACAGTAAGGGTTTATATCATGTGAGTAACATTATTTGTTGTATGGCAAGGATTTCAGGGAAGCTGCCCTAAATCCCATAATTCCAAAGTCAGAAGCTTAAGTCTGTCAGGATCAGATTTCCCAGATATGACATTTATATTGAAATGTGTTGTGATTATGTGAGAAAATATGATGAATAATGAGTATGAAGATGATGAAATGAAAGACAGGGGAATTGGGAGTATCACAAGCAAACCTCCCACAAATCCACTTTTTCCACAACAAATTCTAAATGGAATAACTCGAATTTGTGTATCTAGAGTCGAAACCTATCTCTAGAGATAGAAAATTGGCACTCTTGTTCAATGCTATAGGTTACCAGATATGAGCATCAGTATGACATTTTTGAATAGCTGACAAGACTTTTGCACTTCATGACGAAAATCACCATCAACAATAATTTTAAATAAAGTGACTATGATTTAAAGACATTTAAAAAAATTCCATATGTAAACTTAAAAGTGAAATGCTAAAGTTATTACACCAACAGACAAATGCAATTTTTTAAAAACATTTTGTGAATGAATTGTCCTTTCTAAAGCTAAATAACTAACATAATCTTTAACAATATCTGCCCACTTGTACATGGCTTTGAAGTTCCTAGTTTCATATCTGAATTATGTATTCTCATCGCATTTTAAATGCCTTCCAGATCAATGCACTAAAAATATATATTGCTCTGAACTTTTATTTAAAGTATCTCTGAAAAAGTCTCATCAAAGCACATGGTAAGTATTTTCATGGATGCTCTCCAGAAAAAAGTGTCAAAAATATAATTAACCATAGAATGATTAAAAGTCAGTATTAAAAAAAAGTTATTTATTAATTTATTAACTGATACATTCTCTAATATACCTGTTCATAGACGTTTTTTGTTAATATGTTTCTATTTCTTTCCAAGAAGTGAAACACACATTTTCTAAAAGTCTGGTTTGCTTGTTTATTATTATTATTATTATTATTTAGATTTTTAAATGAGTGAATGTTTTAGGATATACATATGCATACATATACACACAAATATGCAAGAAAGACTTGCTTTTCAAAACTTACAAAACTATAAAATTTTCCAATTGTTAATAGTTCGTGTCTTATTATAAAAAACGAGCACTCACCTGAACATGAAATGCCGTCTCTGCTGCATACTCAACATAACTTCAGAATCAGAGCGTTGATTCCTTTTGACTTTGAGTACTCTACCATCACAAGTCCAAACAAGATCAAGACCAAAATTAAAACCTGTCCATCGCCACACATGTTCTGTTTCATTGTGTATAACACGTCCACAACGAAGACAATCAGCACTGAATTCTTCAAATGTTAATTCTTTTGCACTATGAATAAGAATACACTTTTTAATAGGCATTATTTTTTTAAATTAAAATCGAAGATAAACTGATTGTTTGTGTTAAAACATACCCTCTATCAATGCCTTGATCTATGCGTAACATAAGATTCCAGTTGTTGTATATAGCAGGGTGTAACCAGGAAGGTGGTAATACATGCTCTGAGTGCAAAAGTTGAACATCTGTATGGTGATCTACCAAATGTCGAAGGCGAAGTGCACGAAATGGTGGTGCATACTTAGACCCCTCCTTCGTCAATAAAAATGGTGTATCATCTACAGCACAGGATACCCAATTTTTTAAAAAGATTTATTCAAATGAACATTGAAAAAGAGGAACAGACAGACTTATTGTCACATCATGCACATAAGACAGCCAAGAACAAGTTTCCAACCCTGTTTGAAAACACTATATTATAATAAGAACCAAAATCAAAGCAATAATTAATTCATAATATATAGTAATAGTCAATATTAAGCCTACCATCTCTTTCTTGGAAGTATAATTGGGAAGCAATCAAAGCTTCCTGAATAGAGCCTCCTTCCCATTGAGGTGCAACATGCAGGTATACCCAGTACCGAAGAAGGGCATAGACTGAGAACTCCGTTTGCATAACAAAAAGATCAGGAGATTTTACCAATTGTGTCATAAGATCCACACTGTAAAAAAAATAACTTCTCAGTTAAAAAAATATATTATCCACAATAACAAAAAGGTTATTTCTTTTGCAAATTCTTGCTACAAATTTCTACACATATTATTATAATTTCTGTAGGAATATATGTATAAATGCATATCAAAATCTTCAAGAGAAAAGAGCATAGTATTAGAGACGGATTGCGGAGGATCCTCCTGCCCCTACAGAGAGTATGTCTCCAGATCGAAAACTATTAATCTATCCATGGCAGGGGCACAATCAATCAATTTATAGAAGCCTTATTTATTATTTCTAAACTGTGGAATAAAAACAATTACAAAAGAAAACTTTAACAAGCATTCTTAGGATTCATCCAGACTGTGCTGTAAAAGCAAAGATAGTACTTGATTTACTAATTCAGACATGGATCCATAAATTTCCTGGTGTTGTTGATTTTGTTTCTCCACTTTTTTTCCCTGAAGAAAATTACCAATTTGCACTCAGCATGGTATGTTTAATAGTATTCTACAAGTAAATATAAAAGTACACGTGAAGTATTTAATACATAATAATATGAAAATTCCGAGTTTTAGACTACATCTTGATGATTTATCAAGAATGTTTATAACTTTCTCATACTTAGTAGAAGAGAGAATGAATAGTAGAATAGAGAATGTATTATAATGCAGAAGCAAAAAGAATCAACTTATTCAACAGGAAATTCTTATTTTGATAATCCCTGATACCCGTAAAGTGAATTTTCTGGCTCCAATATGTAGCAAATTACCTTCCCTAATATGCTACGTAATTAAAATTCATGTTTTATGAGTCTTTAGATAAAAAAAACAAAAAAAAAAGATTTTTTGCACAATGCCTCCTTGTCTCTGTCTGTAAACAACATAGTGCCAAACATTCATAGAATTTTCATCTCATCCCATTTTTTTGTTGCTCCCAGGTTGATCTGGCTGATGTCTTAGCCCCTCTAATTTGAAATGGATTTTAATTTCAGGAGTTCTTTCCATGAAGCTCCAACATTAAAATTTTGAACAAATGGCTCTAAATGTCTTGCTCAAATATAATGAACACACACAAAAACAGCGCAGGTCTGATTTTCATTGTATGTATATTCTTTTGTAGTGATATGTATACACTTTTTGGAAACATAAAAACCTACAATTTATACTAGTATTTAGACTTTCTTCACAGATGTTAGCTTGGTTAAGACAATGCCTGCAGAACTTAATTACCTAGCTTCACATCCAAGCCTTTCCAAATGGTTTTGCCCATTTGTAAATTATTTTTGCCTGTTCAAGTACTTCTATGAAATTACATAAATTGCAAATAAGACTAGAAAACATGAGCTTTTGTAGTATGACAATTTTATTATTCAATAAAACTGAAAAAGATGAACAATTTAATGTAATAAATGACCTTAATTTTCCATTTGTTTAAAAACGTGAAATAAACACTGTATGAAGTAGAAACAGTCACAACCTACCCAATTTGAACTAGCTTCTTTGGACAATCACATATGTGGCATAGCAGATTGACAAGTAGCCACTTGAAGCATGCCTCTTTAACATTTTGTAAACCATACTCACAACTTGATTCATAATATGTTAATACAGTCTGAAACAAAAGTTTTATATAACAAGGCTCTGTAAAATGATGAAAAATATTGTAACCTGTCTACAGATTGCATTCTTTATCATTGTCACACACAGTTTTTAACTATTTTTCATGGTAAATCAATACACCAACCTCTGTATTAATTGTCTCAATCATTATTTCTGTACATTGATCTATTAGTCCATCCAGCTGAAACAGAGAGGCTGCAGCAAGCACTGACACAACATCTGCTGGTTCCAGGGTTACTTCATCCAAATATAAGGATCCAAGAACAATGTACATTGCTGTAACAATATAACTCCTCTTAATTTGAGTCCACATTGTCATACCAAATGATTGAACATGAATTTAAAAAAATGTACCATCTAAATTGATCTTAGGATCTACAATTTCAATCCTCACAAAATCCTCCGTTGCTTCTTTCCAGGCACCAGAAAACATGCTAGCAAAGTATGGACTCTACAACGAAAGAACATTTTTAAAATAAAGGTATATTTTTAATTAATTTATTAATATTACTATTAAAATTATACAGACTTGTTCATCACACAAAAAACATATCAATCATTTTTGAATACCTGACACAAATATATCCTATGTAGTTTCCATAATTTCCCAAGAGCAAGAACTTTTATATCACTGTTTTTTCCTTCTTTAAATAATGCTTGATAAATATACTGGGCTGTAGATGCAAGTTTTTTCCTGAAAAATTGATTCTCTTCAGCATTAATGCACACAAACATACAGAAAAAAATAATCAAGCTGTTAATGCCATACATAAAATTTATTGTTTTCGTTTTAATGACAAGTGGCGCATTCAAGGGGGAGGGGGGCATCGACTCCCCTGTGGAGGCAAGCCCCCTTAGAAGCTGTAGACACATATTCAAAAAAAAAATATTTTACTACTTTTCTACAGTAATGAAAGTCATTCACTATCTCGACTGAATACGTTATAAATAACGATAAATCAACAAATAACAATAGTTTTAATTCAGCATAAATGAAAAGTTGTTTGCAAGAAAACATCACATCACCTGAACACTACACCTATAGACCTCCAAATAGAAATATTTTGATGGCACCACTGATATTAAAACATCAAACATTCATTTAAGTTCATAACATAAATTAATAACTAAATACCTCTTCGGTGTTCGCATAGTCTTCTCCAACACGAGATTTGATTCCGATTGAGAATCACTATCGTCATCACGCTTACGTTTTCTGCCGACCCACGAGCGGACAGTTTCGCCCATTCGCGATGATGAATAATCAGTTAATAATTTGCTCCAACTTTCACCCATTATCACTGGTAATGTTCCCCAGTTTAAAAAACACTTACACACCCATTAAGTTCACAATACATACCAATCCACACACAATTTCACATGACTATTTTCAGCTCTCAACTAGCTCATCGACGAACAACGTCTTGTCCACCATTAAAGTATTATTTAGCAACCGTATGTCACAACTTAATACTTCCGGACACCGAATGTCTTTCTACGGGGAGAAAGTGCAGAATAGCACACCCACGGCACTTTCCACCCGCTAGTCTAAAAAAAAGGATGACAACACTCTTATTTTGCAGTTTAGGAAACACTGAAAATGTAACTGGCAAATGACATTAATATTGTCGTCTTTCAAAATTCGCTCATTGGCATTACATGTCAACCAAGTATTAAATACATACAGTTCTAAACCTAAATAATATATTTATATATCAAACAAATATCTTGCACTCATTAAAACTACTTGAAGATCTAAAGAGAAATTTTGGAGTTGCATGGTTGGTCTACTGCTAATGCAAATACCATGTGACGGGCAATGTTTTGTCCCTCCAGCTGTGAAGTGTTTGTAAACAATACCTTTCCGAAATGTATCATCATATCAGCGGGCATTGCCAGAAGTTATTAGTGAATGATACGTCTAATATATACTTGTCTTACATCTTAAAACACAGAATTAGAAACAATTCATATCTATTTTTTAATGTATGTTCAAAAGCGAGGTTAAGTACACATATTGGTTCAAGAAACTTCTTGGGCGGAAAATGTATTTATAAAAATGAGTCAGCTGGCTTCTCCTCAAAGCCATTAAGTGAAAGGGTTATTGTGTTTCCGTTATCTGTTATGACTAATTTATCTGGAAGTAAGAGTACTGTTCTTCACATCAGTGCAAGGAATTTTTCGGAACAAATAGATATATCAGGACAGGGTTGGCTTTATAAAGGAATGTATGATAGTCCACCGGTTTTATATGCCCAAGAACTCTTACTTCATGTCCATGACATTTCTTGCATGCCTTGGTGGGCAACTATTGTTATGACCACAGTGGTACTCCGCACAACAGTAACTTTTCCATTGGCCCTTTATCAGGTAATAATTGGCTTTCAATTATAAAACCTCAGACATTTAGCCTGTATATTGTCATATGATTTATATATGTGTTTCCCATATTCTATCAGAGAAACTTTTGTTTTCTTACGTTATAGAATTATATACTGGCAAAGTTGGATATACTTCAGTTACAATTGAAAGAGATTTCAAAAGAAATGGGTAGAGAAACCAGTTTAGCTGTGAAGAAGTTCAATTGGACAGAAAAACAAGCAAAAGCAGTCTACATTCGTTCTGTTTGTATAGTTGTCGGTGATTGAAAAGGTGTCTGTGGTAATATTGTTTTCATTCTGTTCTAATGAAGAAATATCTTTTAAACAGATGAAAAAGCAATGGCGGGAAATGATAGTAAAAGAGAACTGTCATCCAGCTAAAGCTGGATTACTTATGTTAGTGCAAGTGCCAATGTGGATAAGCTTGTCATTATCTCTGCGCAATTTGGTTTTTATGCTACCCACACCAGATCCAGGTACACCTTATCTAGTATGTTACGATTAGTTATTGAAAGTTATGGCACTAAAAACTTATGCTTTAAATTCTGAAAAGGCACTAAATAATTAAAAATAAGCAAGTTTAAAAGCAACAGAAATACAAAGAGAGAATTCATTACTATATTTCATTGCATTTGCAACTAAAATAGCAAAAATCTGGGGCAAAAACAAAGGAATAACATTTCAATTTACAAACTTAAAATAATTGGACTAAATAATGACCAAAATAAATATCGTAATTTTCTTTAACTTCCAGAACTGGTATATGAAAAAACCTAATGTTCAACTCTTTGAAATACTAGAGCCTTTCATACCTTAGAAGAACATCTGGCACAGTAAGATATCAATATTGGGAAGTTGGAGTTATCAACTTGACTCCTAGACGTGAGCGTTTTGGTTGCGTTGTGAATTTGAGCCCAGCTCTCAACCAAGTGTTTGAAAGAATTGGGCTTCAAAGATTTAGTATTACATCACATTTACACTTACATGACATTTTCATTATAGACGTGAAAGAGGTTTGTTAAATTTAGACAGCTATTGTCAGTAATAAAACTGAAAACATTTTAAATTAGATTAGATACAAATAAATTTGTTAAAAAAAAGACATTTTTGATAAATGTGCCTTAAGAGGCATTTGTGTCAAAAGAGGCAAAATAAAACTTTGTCGGGTAGTTTAATTTTTCTCACCACCTATATTATAAAACTTTAAAATACTATGTTCATTAACATAAAATAGGCATTTTCCTAAACATCCCATGTTTTGTTATGAATGAAATTTAAAAATTTATTATCAACTCAACACCGTCAAGAAGCAGAAATGAAAAATCAATCATTATGAGGTTGTTGTTGTTATGAGTTTGTGAATTCTGAGGGATCTTTGTTTGAAATGTTCATTTAATTTAATTTGAGTTGAATATTTTAATAAAAAGTTATTAAATACCATTTGTGAAACTTTTTAGAAAGTTCTCGTATTAAATGGTAACTACATTTCTAATTTTAAAAGATGTTATTAAGAAAACTAAATCAGCTGAAATTGAATTAAAAATTAGTACTTTTCTCTGTAAATAAAATAATTTAATATTATTTGAAATAAATTTATAGTTTGAAAGATCATGTTGACATTGTATTTTAATGCGTATTTATGATATTACACGTAAATTTGTACCACTGACATAGTTGTCTTATATTTTCCAACTAGCGGCACAGGTGACAGCTTGGGAACTAAGTGGAGGTGGAGCGTTGTGGTTCCACAATTTACTTCTTTCAGACAGTACATGGATTCTACCAGTTATGCTAGGACTTGTTAATCTAACTATAGTAGAAGTAAGTAAGAAACATGTATTAGTGTTAACTCTTTATAATGAATAGAGCCTGGAAGATCAGGCATTTATTTTACCTAAATGAGGCATGAAAAAAAAACAACAAAAACAAACATTTATTCTGCGTAAACACAGAAAACATTATAAAATCACCATTTAAAAGTAATAAGTGTACAAATTAATAATTAAATTGATTCACATTTTTATTCTAACTCTAAAATTTATATTAACACTCACATGGAAGGAAACTCCCTTTTCTTTGTAATCTTGATTGCACACAACAATTCGGGAAGACCACTACAAATTTATTTCACACGCGATGGTCTCTATGAAGAGCTATTGTGATTCTCTTTTGAATCTTGAAGTGGTATCAGTGAAAACAGAATAATAAAAAGACATTTTGCCAAACTTCTGGGCTCTAATAATGAGTAACTACTAAGCATGTAGGCAATACTTAGGCTTGATTGGTTTACCTTATTACCCGTACCTTGACACACTCTTTCCAACTAAGGAAAGGAAGTGCTTGGTCAGTTGAGTTTTATTTTAAATAGTTTATACTGTTATTTGTAAAGATTGATAGTGCCATGATTCAAAAATTTAGAAATAAATAGATAGATGAAAAGATTGTGTTGTTTTTTTCCAGGTACAGAATTTGTCAAGAATTAAACAATCTGGCAAATTTCAAAAGATTCTTACCAATATTTTCCGTGGAGTCAGCATTGCTATGATTCCTCTTGCTGCTTCTGTTCCATCAGTAGGTTATATTAATCGCCATTTAAAATTGATAAATAAGATTAAAGTTAATAAATAAATTAAAAAGTGACAATACATACTTTTTTTGTGTGCTAAGAATAGCATTCATTTGTGTAGTTATTAATATTCATTACTTACTTACATTGTAAATTAAAAATTATAATTTTCTAAGTTAAAAACTTACAAAAAATGTTTCAAATTGTAAGTAGCATTTTTAAAATGTAAGTCTTGTTTGATTAATTTTTTTTTCTAAATTTAAGACTGCTATTCTTTTCTAGGCCATTTTATATTAATGTATTAAAATATTTTTTTCTAAGGTGATAGTGATGATTATTATTGCATTATAATCATTATTTAAAAGAAAGTATTATGTTTTTGTGAATAAAAATCAGTTTTATTGTTTAGATTAATTGACATGCATGATTCAAATATTTTTAGTAAGTTTAATTTTTAGGGTTAGTTAAGTGAATTCTTTGGTAGAATTTTTTTCACATAGAACTTCATTTCAAGAGGATCATTGTTTCAAGATTACCTGAGTAAATTTGTACTGGTTTTTGTTACAGTGTCTTTCCCTATATTGGGTTACTTCAAGTACAGTAGGACTACTTCACAATCTTCTTCTTCTCTCACCTCGTGTTCGCAGTTTTGTTGGTATTCCTCAAACTAACTTGGTCTCCAAGCAACCATACAGACATATTTATACACAGCTCCTTACTCGCCTTGGTTTGACAGCTTCACCTCACTCTTCTAAATAGACTGTTTCACGGATTTTGAATAAACAGCTGCGTCACAAAGAAATAAAAATCTTAATGAACCATTATATTCCCAGCAGGTTGAGACTAATAATTTTGACAAATTATGCTATTTATAGCAGAGAAAGAATAGAAAAATAACACATAGTTTTAATCTTGATTACATGTTAGTTAAATGAAGAATGCTGCTCAAAGAACTGTTAAAAATGTTAATTATTTCATCTAATTTGAAACTTTTAATACGCTGTTATTTATTAATTCATGTACACAAGATTTGTTGATGAAAGATATGAAAATAAAAAGAAATTTGATATATCATCTTCTGTGTTGTCTTGAAATGAGAAAAAGTATGGTGTCTTATTGTAACTTGCTCTCTGATTCAGAGTTGACCTTTGAGTTCATGACCCACTGTGTGCAGATAAGTAACGATAAACTCATGCTGAACTGTCTTGTTTAGAGAGTGTATTTGCTTCCATGTGTGAGAGTGGTGGGTGATGATTGGTTTTCCAAAATGTTACTTTTTCACCCAATATTATGGGTGACTTTATGTTTCTGGAATGTTGCTGAGGTGATTGTAAGTTTACTTTTGCAACAATATCATTGGTTTTGCTATGATGTAATTAATCAAGCATACTAGTTTCTTTACTCAAAAGGTTCATGAAAATATAAAATCCTTACAATTTGGCTGAGGAGGAAAAGAAAAATGTGCTCTTCCAAGTACTTTCAATAACCTGTATATATTCATGTCCATTGTATTTTTTTATTTATTTTTTGATACATTTTCTCTTAAAGATCTCTTTTATAATCAATTAAAAATTGTAAAATATTTTTGATTATCTGCTAGTTTTATCAAAAATTCATCCTTTTTCTTCTCTTACATCCATGTTGCAATCTTGCCAATATTTAGTATACATAAGAAACCCTTTTTTATTATATAGAATTATATGTTACAATGAAAGTGAGAAATAATTCATTTCATTGGAACTCAAATTTAGGACTTAAACATTTGCTTTCGCTTTTATCTCTATCATTCAAATCTAGGAAGAATATCCATTGTCCAATTTTATAGAATGAATTCACATGCTATACATTTTTATATATGGTATTTTGAAATATCTTGTTTGCAATCTTGTATGAAATGACAAATGACTGGATTAATATACATATATACAATACACATACACATGAGTAAAAAATATATTTTGACAAAGTCCTGAACAAACAACTATTGATCTACAGGAACTGGGTAATCCAACTGTGTTTTAAAATGTTTTGATGCAATAAGGACCTATTCTCTGTCTCTCTCTCTCTGATATTTTCAGTTTCATTCATAGGATTAAGCTCTACGAGGGCTCCTCTTGGAACAGGGATGCGAAATAATAACATCAGTAACGTTTCCATACCCAATACAGTCCGACTATTAATTTATCACATATGATTATGTAAGACAGGTGTTCATTTAATGGGATATGAGCTAAATTTATCAAGGAAGTAGATACTACAAAGCACCTTCCATGTTTTATGATTTCTTTGTTCCTCAGGAAGATATTCACTTGCTTCATGAAAGTAAGAGAATATTCTTGCTTTTTCCAAAATGTCTTTCACTCTCTTATAAAGTGTGAATGTGTTGAGAGGGTTTTCATGACCACTCCATCCTGGATTACTTATTATGCAATATGATTTTATATATTTTATTTATTTGAGGTCTCATCTTCCTAGAAAAATTAAGAAGAGGTTTTAAAGTGTGTTTTATCTCAGAGAATAATAATAATTGTTATTTTTAATATTATATTAAATTTTGGGTCCAATTTCCCACTAAGACATTGTTTCTTATAAGTTTATTCCCCAAAGAAATGTAAAGTTGTTTATATGAATTCAAAAAAAATCGAGATCTCTTGTTGGACTTATTTGTCTTTTGTGGTTGTTCGATTAGAGGATAACTTTGCAATATTTAATAGTTTAAGTTTAGTTACTTATCTTCTAATTTGCTTTTCTGGACAGAGGTGGCAAGTTAAATTACAACATCAGCAAATAGTAGATTGGGTTAACTATTTTGATGTTTATGGTCTCTCTTAGTGAATCCTGAATATTTCTTAACAAATACATAAATATTGTTAGTGATGACTTTAGCTTTACGTATTTTTTTTAAATAGAATGAATTTCTTTCATAATTCTCACTTTAACTGAGGATAATTTTTAATCTAATGTATATGTATTTCATCTTCAATTTTATAATTTACTTACAAATGTGAAAAGCTGTAACAATCAGTTCTGCAGCATTCATTTAATTTCTCAGTGCTGATTGTAATAGCATATTACATTTATAAATGAACTATTGATTTGAACATCCATTTTTATTATTACATTTAAACATATTTGTAGTGATCTAACTATTGAAAATCTCAATCAGGTCCGAAAAATTGTTTTGAATGAATTGCTTTAAAATTTGTGTCAACTTTTATTGTGTAATTGTATGTTCTATTACGTGATTTGTGTTTACCTCTTATACTTTTATCTTCCTTGTCTGTGAGTTCTGATGTGTGAAATGCAACATTTAGAGACTTTGTCAATTTTAATCTTTAGATTCACATGATAGTCCATTTACTACATTTTTTAAATAATATTTTGTTTACAACCATGTCTGCTACTATGATCATTAGAGTAAAAACATCAGTGTGGTGATCATGGGCATCACTTGGGGTGACAAGAAAGGCAGTTGCCCTCCAATAGTTTACTTTCTTGCTTTACGTAGCAAATAGAATGTATTGTAATACAACTGCAGAAAGAAGCAATTTTCTGTCAGAAAACTCATATTTGAGTCCTGATATCGAAAAAGTGGATTAATCTTGTTCCTGAATGAAATGAACTACTTCCTCCAATGAACTGAATGTACTGAGTGGCAGTGAGGGTACCCGTGCAATTACAACAATCCATGATCGTGACTAGGGCACAGGAACAAATTATAATATTAACAATCAGAATAATCAACTTTTCTTCCAAAACATTGATTAGTGAAATGAATGATTTACATTCATTGGTAGCATTAGGGAGATACTAGCAAAGGTCATTTTCATACGTATACTGCTTTATCCAGTGAACTGGATACACCGGGTGTCCACCAGCTATGGGCCTCCCCATAACTTCTAAACGGTTCATGATATCAAAATGCAGTTTTCACACAACATTGCATAATCATGGGGTAAACAATAAGCTGTAGAGATATTGTTTGAAATATTTTTAGTTTTTGAGAAATTAAATCATCTTACATTATTTAAATTGAATTACATATTTTTCTCACCAGTATTGGCAGATCATAAAAAGAGAAATCCAATGATGTATCATATGTTTGCATTTTGATAGAATTAGAGTATAAAAATAGACTTTCTGACATGTGATTTTAAATGGTACAGATCATTTTTTCTGTAGCAGCCCTTGCACCTGTTGTCTTGAGAAGGGTGGCCTTCACAGCGGAAGCGAAAAGCAAAGGCAACAGTTGTAAGGGCTACTAAAAGAAATTTTGTCAGGTAATTTAAAATCACATGGATATTAAATTAATCAGACACAATTTCTTTTAGTAGCCCTCATAAAGTATTATTTTGTAGTAAAACTACTGTCAAAATATTAACAAATGATACATCATTATATTCTGATTTGTAGTGATATTGTAGCTCTGATTCCATTGCTTATTACGAAACATACGAGTATTTTGAAGGAAGCAATCAAACAAATCAAACTATTAATGGGTGATCAACACATTGTTAAATCACAAAACAAAAGCAATGTGGAACATAAAATAGAAACACTATAAAAACTATGTTCTGCACATCCCTCAAGAAGTAGCAAATACGTTCAATAGATATTTCTCAGAAATTAAAGGAAAATTAATTCTTCATAATTCCTTAAATAATACAAATATGCAGTAAAATATCCTCACAACACTGAATGCAAATTTCATTTATATCACCTGCAGAAATACTAAAAATCATAAATCAATTGAAAATAAATTCTCTTCAGGACTGGGTAATATCCACGACACCCTCATTTAACATTCTGCAACATACATAATAGAACCGCTCACTCATGTTTCTCACTCACTCAAAAGCTTTCGACATTGTTAACCATCACATACTGTTATCAAATCTTGAAACTTTGGGAATTAGAGGCATTGCACATCAATAAGTTAAATTTTACCTTTCTAATCATTGTCAAGTAGTCACAATGAAGTGCATTGTAGATAAAAAGATTTCAATCCATTTTTCCCAACCTAGAATGAAAAATTATGGAGTGCCACAAGGATCTATCCTACAAAACAGCCAAAATCCTATTTGCAGATTACACCAAATATTATTATTAAAGCAAATAACCCAACGAACTCTACAAAAAGAAGGCACAAAAGATTCTAGAGGTACTCAGTAAAATGGTTGCAAGAACTTAAACTCATGCAAACACCAGTAAAACTGTCTTCCTTAAACTTTAAGGAGTTCACTCTCTTAAGAAAAGCCACCAGCCACAATTGATCATTAAAAAACATGCCTTGCTTAAAATATCCCCCAAAAAACTCTCCTTGGATAACCATTCAAGATAATCTAAAAATAGAACCTCTACACATCACAAATCTAAATAACAAGCTCACCAAGTCATGGTTAATGCCACTTAAGTCAAATTCTTGCTTTAGATATCTTATGAACAGAGTAACTTTGCAAGTGTTCATAGCATTTAAACATAATGAAATCATGTCCAGGGAAGTTCTCCGATAGTATTCACACATTCATCATCCCAAAACGAACAATTGAAAAATAAACAAATTTGAGCTCTGAGAACCACTGTTTAAAAAATTACAAATCCTACCATTTCCCATGCATGTACGTATTTTGAAATATTAATCTTCACAAAGAAGACCCTTATGAGAAACCAAGGAATTCTGGGTACTCTAACATAGAAGCTCATAACTGTAAGACTGAAAATCTGTATGACCTTTGCAGTGAAACTTCACTCCTTCAAAAAAGTAGCCATATAGAAGGCATTATGCTGTAACAAACTCCATAGTATATTTAAAAGCTTAAACTCAATATGTACATTCAAAAATAAACTGAAAGTTTTCCTGTTAAACCATACATACTAAAGTACAAAAGAATATATAGGTACATCATAAATATGCATCTACTATATAAATATTAACTAGTAGGACTACTAATAACTTGACATATCCTGTTCCATGTTTGAAACCCTCAAAAAGGTTGGATATGAAAAGTGGACCCAGTTCATGCATCAAACTCATATGAAGGCTTTTTTTTTCTTCCCTTCCCCTTTTAATTAAAAAAATATTGTTTTTTCAATTTTTGTGTTCTTACACTATCATTTACAAAATTAATTAGCATTGTATACAGTATTATTATTAAATAGTATTGTATACAGTACCAAAATTGAATTGAATTTTAGTTTCTGTATTGCATTTAATTTTTATAAATATTTGAATTGTATATTATATGAATATACATAACCTGATTTGTGATACATTCCTTATGTTGTGTTTATGTATAATATTACTCTACTTCATTGCTAAAGATGTTATGA